AGGTATGTGGGGGCGTGTTAGAATGAGCCATTTTAGGTAGGCGTGGTTGGCTCATAACGTTCATAAAGAATATCTCTTTGGATTTGAGACTTTAGTCTTTGCAACTTTACAGATCTTCTTTATGCACCAAGAGCTTGTAACACTCCAAAGAGAAAGGAAAAATTGAAATATCATCATATGACCCCTTTAAGTCATTTTCAGTCCAAAAAAGAAGAGGATTAAAGACCAACACAATAGAATTGTTTTACAGACATAGACTAAGCGTAGTTCTATCTAGACTAAAGGGATTTTCGATGGAAAACCACTCCTGACAGAGCGGTTTAATCCATGTTTAGTCTTAATCTGCATTGAAGAAACAAATTGACAGGGTTTTAGAAGACAACCTTAATCTTAAAATGCCATGCAGAATAGCAACATCAAACATATGTAAGGAATATATTATATATGTAATCCATTGTAGGAAATAAATTTATGAATCAAATATTTCCTTTTATTAAAGGGCAATATTTGCATATACTTGAATTCATTATCGGGGCATTTTTTCCTTAAAACATACTTTTCACCGTCACCAAATACTTTATATTATTTTCACATTCAACAACAGTTTAAAAGCCAACAACTTCAGATAGAGGTGTCAAACCAATATTTTAAGCCCCATATTTAATACATCTGGGACATTTTGCCCCAAAAAGATGTGCAAGATAGATAGATAGATAGATAGATAGATAGATAGATAGATAGATAGATAGATAGATGCAAGCACACAAAAAATAACTACATTACTTACTACATTGCTATTATATACTACAAACACTACTCAACCCTCTACGCACACCTTGGCAATATAATCGCCATTGGCCCCTCACAGAAAACTTTCTGCATTTTTACAATTTCAAAAGTAAAAAAAAACATTGTTTACTTTATTTTTTAACAGTTTTACAAATGAGGACATCCACAAATTGAGGTTTTTGCCGATTTTGTCAGGTTTTGCTCACTTTTGGGTACAAATTTGTCCCCAAAATATGGTTAAGGCGGCACACACACACACACGATTCCACCCAATCAGCTTATCTTTGTCAAATGGAACAGCTTCTTAAATAACTGAATGTGCACTCTTAACTTCAGCAATCAAGCATTATATTATGATATTATGATAATTAAGCACTATTTAATGATAGAACTAGTGATTAGAACTAAAACTTGGTCTTTGTAAAATGGAACCGCTTCTTAAATAACTGAATATGCACTCTTAACTTCAGCCAATCAAGCATTATATTATGATATTATGATAATTAAGCACTATTTAATGATAGAACTAGTGATTAGAACTAAAACTTGGTAACCATGAATGAATGCATATTTGTCATTTTAACTGAACTTGGGACTGGTGGTGGTGTTTAAGATTATGTTGATCATAGGTAATAGTAATTATTATTAAAATATACTGCCCACTGCCGATACACCGGCATATCTTCTGCTTGTTCTTAAAAGTTGAATAATTCTAAATGAACTCTGTTATTTTGACAGGAAAATACAACAAAGAATATGGTTTACATGTAGCGCGTCGATTCAGCGTGGTATGCAAGACTCTCGCTCTCTCTCTTTGCATGTATGAGAAACACAGCGCTATCAGTAAAGCGACGGCGAGTCGTGCGCCTTCACACTAGTTTACGGTACGTCAAATACAGGTGCGCTGCATGCTACATACTGCGCATCCATTGAGTACATGACATGATCCATTGAGCGCATCCAAATAGTACAGATCGCTTGACGGAGAGCGAAACTCTCAAGCGCTCAGTCAGCGTGTTTATCGAGTGAAAATCTGTGTTGAACGCCTCTCACACACATACTGGCGTGTAAAATCTAAGAATTTATTCGCCCAGGGTAAGATTTAGTTGCATGTGCGAGTGATTTACTCGCAATGTAGAAGGTTGCTACTATTCAGTAAATCCATACAAATGTCCAGTAGTGTAATGTAACAAAGTAATAATACTTCGTTACAGTACTTAAAGGGGTCATATGATGCAATTTAAATTTTTCCTTTCTCTTTGGAGTGTTACAAGCTCTTGGTGGATAAAGAAGATCTGTAAAGTTGCAAAGACTAAAGTCTCAAATCCAAAGAGATATTCTTTATAAAAGTTAAGAGTCAACCAAAACGGCTCGTTCTAAAACGCCCCCACATATCTACGTCATGATGTGGGAAGTATTGCATAACGCCGCCCAAATGTTCACGCAAAGAAGGCGTAACTTTTATTCTCGCTGTTGCCGCCGCCATGTCGTGGAGTCACTGTGGGTTTCATTGTGAAAGCGAAACTTTGTTTGGCCTTCCAAAAGAGGACACAACTAGAAATCAGTGGTTAAGTTGTATTTACAACACTGTTCCAGAACAGTTCAACCCAAATATTCAGATGTGTGCTGCGCATTTTATGGAGGATGAGGACTGTTTCCTGAACCTGCAGACTAGCCTACAATGCGTCTGTGCTCAAAGGCTGTTTCTATCAAGTGGGGCAGTTCCAACTTTGCAAGGACAGTCTGGCGCTTCTGACTCACAGCCTGTAAGTAAGTTTTTTTATATTTAAATAATTTACGAGTTTTGAGCAGTGTAGAGTAGGCTTGTTGTTTGTTTTTTCTCCGATCACAAATGCAGACATGGTTTTATGTTTACGGGGCGCGATACGCAACGCAACGCGTAAAAAGACAGTATAAGTCATTATAATCAGTCCCCACTACCGTGTGGAGCGCTAGTGAGACTCCTACACTTGTCTTTGATTTGTAAAATGTCCCGCGACTGGTTCGTTGAACCAATGGGATCACTCGGGGTCCTAAGCGGACCTGATTTCGAGGGGGGACTCGATTTCTCATGACACCTTCTCCCAGCAGGACGAGACTCATGCCTTGTCCAAATACCCACACTTGCGGTCTTAGCCACTTGAGAGCGCATGCACGCGGCAGGAAGTAAGTGCGCAAGACTGTCCCAGATCTTAAAAATGCCAGAGCGCAGTGCCCTTAACACACACTAAATCCACACTATCTCGAATACCGCTCCGGAGCAGTATTCGAGGCTTAGTGTATCCCATCATGCATCATGTTGTGGAAATAAATCGTGAGACTTTTTGCCGAGATCTCGTGAGAGGTCACGGAAACCTTTTCAATGTATGTGAAATATTGATGATAATTAGATATTACATATAATTTGGTAGTCATTTGCAAATGAGCAGTGGTGATAATTATTTTGTACAACATTTGCAACTGCTTTTTATCACTAGAAGCACCACAAAATTAAATAGTGTAATCTGTTATAGGGACTACTGAACAGACATTTAGAAGTTGATTTTAAAATGCAAAGTATTGAAAATAAAAATAAACCTCTGTAAACACTTGCATTTTTACAACACTATAAGTGTGTCCCATCAGGTAATGAAAAGTTCGACACACACTTGTGGTCTTTCATGCTCACTTGAATACTTGGACCAAATACAGGAAATACGTCATATAAGTAGTCAAGTGGTCAAGTGCAAAGACCGCAAGTGTGGGTATTTGGACAAGGCATGAGTCTCGTCCTGCTGGGAGAAGGTGTCATGAGAAATCGAGTCCCCCCTCGAAATCAGGTCCGCTTAGGACCCCGAGTGATCCCATTGGTTCAACGAACCAGTCGCGGGACATTTTACAAATCAAAGACAAGTGTAGGAGTCTCACTAGCGCTCCACACGGGTGTTCTCCGTCTTTTTTTCTGACAGTTTGCGAGAGAGGGGGTGTGATGTCGACCTGCGAATGAAGACACAATGGCTGGATTGCGTTTACATTACACTGAGATCCGAACACAATGCGTCCTCGACTACCTCTGGAGCAGGACACGCTGATCGGATAACATTCCGATCAGAAGCGCGTTTACACTTGTATTTTCAATGTGTATGTGGACAACATCCGGATACAGGTCGCATGTTAATGCCAAGTGTAAACGCAGCCAGTGACTTATTAAAACATCCCTGAATGAATCAACATTTTTGAATGAATCGATTTAATCTCAATGACTCGCTGGTTAACAGTGACTTGCCGCCACCTACTGGCGGCTTTAATTTCACATTTCAAGTATCTTTTTCTTGTTTTAAATCTTTTCAAATATCAATATTCAACGTTTTATGTTTAAAACAAAGCATTATTTATGCATTTGTAATAACTACTGGTTAAATGCATCCATCTCCTCTCTGAGCTGCATTAAACAGTCTGTGAAAATAAAATCTAATCTAAATGATGCAGATCGGATGCTGATTCCATAAATGCAAAAATGGTTTTCTTATATTGGAATGAAAGAGTTCAAACTGAACACAATCTTGCTGCTCAAACTGTGTATAGAACAATATATATATATATATATATATATATATATATATATGCTTCTTTACCTTTTGAATTTGCTTGTACTTTCAATACTTTTGTATGTTAAATATTAAAAAAGATATACTTTTCATACTTAAGTACAATAAATATCACACTTTAAAACTTTTACTCAAGTAATATTTAAACGGCGACTTCAACTTCTACCAAAGTCATTTTCTGGTAAGATATCTGTACTTTTACTTAAGTGTGGATTTCAAGTACTTTATCCACCACTGCGTGTCACCCCAACTACGCGACATAACGCGCACACATTATGAAGCGTTCTGTCGCGTTTGCAGTTCAGACAGCTTGGTTTATTTTATATGAAGTGCACGTAGTACACCCCATACACGTAGTACACCCCATACACGTAGTACACCCCATAATTTTAAAGGTCGTTCTACTTTGTCGCGTCGCGTGTAGGCCCACCTCACCCACGACATAAAACTTCAATCAACTCAAAGGAATTCAACCCAACAATACCTTTCCATTCTGTCTTGCACATACTGAAACATAAACACATATTATAACAAAACTACGGTTTGACTGACCAACTACAGAGAAAGCGGTTGAAAAAAGACAACACCCAGGATGAAAGTAAGTCAAAACTCCGCTCTACCCACCCTTACTTGAATTTTCCAGGACAAACAATCCGCTTCAACTATTCATTCATGCATTTTCCGATGTGGTTTCCAGTTCTGAAGTGGCTGAGAGGATGACGGTAACTCGTAAATTGTTTTTTGGTGGTTAATCTGAGGTGGTTTGGAGTATCTGAGGGAGTTTGCGGAGGAATCCTGCTCGCGGTGAGTGTTGTCGCAGGCGCAGCTCAGGCTGGAAGTTCCTGTTGCGCTCTACAGGGAAATTCAACAGGAAACTCCAGCGCCGCAGTGCGGCACACTTCCAGCAGGGGGCGTTCAGGATCACAGCCCTACTAAACGTCCGTGAGTGCAGAAGCAGGAAGTTTGAACTGTGAAATGTTAGTTTTATCATGTGGAATCTAGAGTGAAATGTAAATATGAACATTTTAGAAATGCTACATCTTATATCATATGTACATTTACACCCATTCTATTTCATTTTATTTTTTGCTTTCATATTTCCTCCATTTCATATACTCATCCTATTTATTTTCCTGTATTGTGTATTTCAGTATTTTTGTGTATTTCCTATATTTTTTAATTTTCAATTTAATGCATTCTCACAAAAAAGTATTTATTTAAAAAAAAAATCTTACTGAATTCAAACTTTTGAATGGTAGTGTATTAAAAAAAAGTATGAGGCAGTATTATATCTCAAAGTAAGGGCAATTTAATTTAAAATATGCAATCCATTCAATGAAAAAGGCTTTAAGCAACAACAACATACAAATATATGCATGAACTGCATACAAATGTAGCCTACACTTTTCACAGTTAGCTAATATTATGTACAGTACTTAAATTTGAGCGTTAAGTTTTTCTTTTCACGGTTACATGTAATATACATAATTAGCTCAAAATAAATTGCTTTTGTCATGTGCGCTTCACATATCCACTGCACGTAGAAGACACTTACGTTTTACTTCTGACATATTGAGCCATAACACAGGCCAACAATGCTGAAAAAAACACTGTTCACAAAACATTACGTTAAGTATCTTGATGCAGCAACTGTGCTGTAGACAGTAGACAATTTAACACAAGTTTCACTGTTTACAGACACAAAGTGCTACTTCTGTACCAATGAAGTGCTATAGTGATTTTGTCTCTCTCATGTGCTATGAAGTCCGATACCCTGGTAGAGAAAAACAAGAACAGTACAGCAGCCGTCATGCAGCTGTACAATAAATAATCTGTCTTGTGTTCAATGCTCTGGATTGAAACCATGCTCAATCTGTTAACACTGTTCAAATCCAGCCATTAGCGACAGCGCCAAGGACTCCACTGTAATAGAAAACATATGGTGTGTAAAACTAAATATTTCTGGGTTCACTCATTATTTACTGAAAAAAAGAAATATATAGACAATTTATAAAGTTGTTTTTTTTGCATTGGAACATGTTTTTAATTCTTACTCTCAGTGATGATTCTTACTGTATTTTTATAACTGTAATAATTACTGTAAATATTCTGTCATATTTACTATATCTGTAATAATCAGTCAATTAAAATTAGTACAACAAATAGCACCAATACTTTACAACAGTGGTTCTCAATTCCAGTCCTCGCGTACCACTGCTCTGCACATTTTTTATGCATCTCTTATCACTTCAGAGGTTTGTTCTATTCAACCGTAAGTGCCCTGCGAAGTGAACATCACAGGATATTCCACCATGATTCCAGTTTGAATCATGGTGGGAGCGTCTATGCTCTTTTCAAAGGGCATTAAAGTGTGCGAGACGTGAATTTAAATTGCATTTATTCACAGAGGTATATTATGTCACACTTTACACTTCTCTAGTAAGTTTCGTCTGTGTGTAAATACGCTGCAGGCAGTGGTGTAGCTCAAATCCGTGAATGAATGTTTCCGAAGTGAAGTACACTTAAATGGATGTCCCCCGTGCTCAGGGAGTAGGGAGCAATGAACACTGTGTAGGGACCATGTCAATCGGAACACAGTTCATTTACGGAGTTCTCTTCAAACGAGCTGGTTATCTGAATCAGGTGTGTTAAATAAGAGAGACATGCAAAATATGCAGAGCTGTGGTACGCGAGGACTGGAATTGAGAATATTTCCATAAATGTACTGCTCTTGTTTGCAATAAGAGTATATTGTCTTTTGGAGTTAAATACAGACAACATCTGAACAGGGTTAGTGAGATTCACACTGTTTTTTTTTAAATGCACAGCAGTGGAGGACTTACAATGAGGAAATGAGCCTCTGCACACGGCCTTGTTTAAAATAGTCACCAGAAACATGTGACAGTTTTTAAAATCCGACTCCATTTTGTCAATCGACTCGATTCTGAGGAGAAAAAAAGAAAATATTTAACCAATGGTAAAATCCAAAAAGGGAAGCAAAGCCTCATCCTCATCAAAATGAAGTGAAAGCTGTGAGACAAGGACAAGTGGCTAGACTGAAACATCTAAAGAGATTCCATACATGGAGAGTTTTAAACTTACTTCCAGGCCCCAAAACCAGCCTGCCATCTGTCTGAGAAAATGAGAACTAAGTTCAGCACTTTCATGATGGCCTCCTTGACAAAACTGACCTGCAAAGACACAGTAACCTGAACTGATGGATCAGAAATAACACAAATGTCCATAATGGCTTAAAAGTAAAAACTAGGCCAACCATCATGGGGAAGACAGCTTACTGAATTGATAAGAAAAACTGCAATTTTAACATGCACATTTTTTTTTGACAGACTCATTTTTTGGCCTGTATATTTCCCGCTTACTTTCTCTCTGAGCAGACATCGGTCATGAATGGTGGACAAGTATCTGTAGTGGATTTTGATGAGCTGGTCAAGATCCTTAGCCTCCTGTACTTGGTGTTGAAACTCTAGACCTGTACTATGCAGGATCTGTGAATGAAATGTAGCAAGGTGTATGTCCACAGGGTAATAAAAGGATGATTCAAATACAAAAAACAAAACAAACAAAGTCTGAACTCTGCTGCAAATAAATAAAGCCCATTTTATGTATTTCAGACCTACCCTTGTCATAATGTAGTTATGCAGGCTGTTGACAAAGTGCATGAGTTTGACCCTCAGGAGAAACATCCTGTGAATCTGCTGGTTTATGGGCTCTTTGGCTGTGCTTTCCTCGGACTGGCTTCCTTCTTGCGTCTTAGCAGCTACTGTCAAATCTGTGGGAAGACTCTATATTAAGATCCCATATGAACTAGTGAATTAAAACCATCCTGATATGAAAGCAGTGTGAATAAATAAAAAAAGACCTGTGATCGCTGAACTACAACGAGATACAATTGAACCATGATGTAACATAAATATGAAATATATAGATATCTTATTGCCATTTAATAGCGTATCCTTTTTGTAATAATATCCACTAGCTTTATTTCTCGCTCTTTTTATTACAAATAAACAGAAGTAATGAAAACTTCAGTAGAGAAATCATAACTCGCCACTGAATCGTAATGTGTCCAGGCTATATTTGGCCCATTTGATCTGAAGCAGCAGTAGAAAGACCTGATTGTAGATTTTCTGACACTCTGAACTTATAACAATATCTACAGGCCATGGAACCTGGTGAGAGAAAATCAAAAGGAATTCATATAAAATGCATAATTTATACAGATAACTCATAAAAACAAATACATACATTTACATTTAAAAACAAATACATTTTTTTTTAAAATTATATTTATTGTGTTATTACAATCTTCAAAGCATAACGGGCAAAATTTTTCAAAATGCCAAATGAAATTGTGGGTTTGTAACCTTATAACTCAGCGTAAGACCATCAAGGTTATTCACTGGCTGTTTTTTTCTTGCAGGATCAATAGTTTCAAGAAATATAGACAACCTAGAATCATGAGAAAAAAATAACCACAGGATATTGAGTGGTATCAGGTAGGGTTGAATGGTAAACCACAGGATCTCTAGAGATGCATGTGCAGTACCGGTTGCTGTCCTCGGGGTGGCGCTGACCAACAGCCTCTTGCAGCTGCACATTAAGGAAGGCCAGCTGCTGCCAGCTCTCCTTCTCCAGAACTTTGTCAAAGATGGCTGTGTAGAAATCATACATAGTATCCCCAGCCTCCAAAAGGAAGTAGTTTCTCATGGCCTGCAAGTACCCCAGAAGCCTAAGATGAAAAATGAGAAAGTTAAGCATAAATGCACTACAAAGCAACACTGTGAGGTTCATGCACAAAGGACTCATCTGCAGTATCTCACCTGTAGTCTTTCTTCAGGGTTCTCATGAGGTTGCCACAGCATTCGATGTATCTCCTCTCAATATGTGGATACAAACAGGAGCGGAGCGTAAGCTCAAACGTCTGACATGTCACAGACTCAGAGGAGCGGTCCAAAATCACATTGCCGCCAGAGAATTTCTCATGGAAGTCATTTTGCTCTAAATAAAGCCTGCAAGAGATAACATATCGCAATCACTTCAACGGAAAGCAAGCTAATGAAATTGTGAATGACCAAACATAGTTTAGTGACTTTATATAATTTCAATCTTTGAAAACACAAATCTACATTTAACATTTTTGCTCTAAGTGTGAACTTCAGTGACGTCAAACCATTTATTCTGTATTCTGCTGTTACCTTGCAAAATTAATGGCCAGCAGGGGGTCATGGATGTCATCCAGCTCCAGATGACGTGCTACAATGGACTGCATCTTGATCAGGCTCTTCTTAGTTGCCTGTTGCTTGGTAACCGTATTTGTGGGTGACTCTTCTCCATGCCGAAGACGTGTCTGAACTGATTCCAAGAAGAGCGTGTACAGACTCTTTCTTTCGGCATCTGCAGAGAGACAGAATTCATTAATCATTGTCAGACATATTAAGACATATTAAGCTATAAGAAACATAAAAATGAAGTAATCAACTAAAACACAAAAACAAATGGTAATCACCAAACGAAAACTAATGTAAAAATGTGAGCATGCAACAAAAAACTAAACTGAAACTTGAAAACAACATGGATGAAAACTTAATAGAATTACAGAGAACATTACTTCAGACCATCAGTGCATTATGTTGAAATGAACCACTATTAAACAAGAAGGGGTCTAATTCACATTTAAAATAAACAACCACATATTTCTTTCTTTGTATGACTTTTAGGGTGGGTATATCTGACATCCATGACACTGAAATAAGTAGTAACTCCTCCAAATAACACCATAAAGACAAGTCCAAAAGACCCTGTCTAAGACAGTATTTCTGGTATCTCTGCTTTAATGACACAGATGCTTGTTTTCAATTTTTTTTTAATTTGAAGAAATCAGGGGTATCAATATAAAA